ATGTTTCTTAATATTTCTATAATTACAGATTCGACGTGTTACAAAAGGCCAATTGGTTAATGAAACGTTTTCTCGTACAACAGAAACGTCAAATTCACTTAAGACTTCTTTTATGGTAAAAAGTAATAAAAAACATTTTATATTGGTATAAACAACATACAATACCTTCATTTGCATATTTTCCGTAGGTAATTACTATTTGTTCTAATAAAATTTCATTGAAAAGCTCAATAGCTAACCAGGCATAGTTAAATTTTGTATAAAAAAAGGTACACGAATGCCTACTTAAATCGGAAATTATGTTCTCATGATAGCCGTCGAAGGCCTTTATTGGATGATGGAAATGATAATCGTCTATAGGCCCACTGTCACTTGTATGAAATTGTTTAATTTCTTCAATTGGTATTATATTCCCATCATTGAATTCTAGACCAAAAATTTGAATTTCATTGATAATTATCCTAGAATTTTTATTTAATACTATAAAACGATTTCCTTTTACAATATTATCACATTGAAAGTGAAAATATTGATATTTCAAAGGAAGATTTAGTTCATTATTATCAATGCAAGATTGCATATTTTCATCGATATCTTGACTCTCGATAGTGTTGTTAACGAAAGCGGATAAATAATACTGAACAGTTTCATTATCTGAATAGTAAAAATACATATATAAAAGAAAAATGAGATAGATAATAATAGATGAACACACACTTAATCCATAGAGTAAAGCGAATGATTGAATTGCATAGATTTTACCAAGATAAATCCCAATCATTGAATCTGCTGATATTTCACTATAGGAATTGAAATTACCGTCATTTAATTTAAAAACATAATCCGAACTATTCAACAGAGAGATATGCTTTCTATAAGCAATATTAAGAAAATTTGGTTCTGTAACAAGAGATAATCAAAATCTAACAATTAACTTTAACTAAAAGTTTAAATTACTTACTTTTCAGCTGTCCATAAATTTGTATAAATGTTATTTCGTAAAAGTCCTCATTTAATCTATAGATATTTAAATATCTTGCTCTTTGAGTAACTTTCCTCCGAATAAAATTGATACTATTGTTTTTCGAGTATGAATGTAATTTTAAATCTTCATTGTCCAGTTGTAAGAAACTTTTAATGTATTGAATTTGGAAAGTAACATTATCTATTAATTTTCATTAAAATAGAATACGTTTTTATTGATAAATAAACTTGTTATTATACTTTTTTCATGTGGATTAGTATAATTTAAAGCTACGAAGTTTACAGAATATTCTTGTTCTAGATCGATAAAAATTAATCTAAAAAGATTATCTTCAATAAACTGATTGTTTGTCATGAAATTTGCAGAATTTAAAACTGGCTTTCCTAATGCCAAATTGTCTGTAAAGAAAAAATAGAAGGGAAATAGCTGTAAACTAGTTATTTGACAAGTTTTACCTGGATATATTTTAATTTCGCAGATTTCTAATTTATTAAAATATTCCAAATTTAATATTTTAGCAGAATCGTTATTTTTGCAGTAGAATGTTGTATCTAAGTTTACCTTTCTTTTAGTTTCATTACAAATAATCTGCTTTTCCGTTGTATATTGTTTGTAGATTACAATTTCCGATAATTGCTTATTGTTAGATTCTGATATTATTAAACAATAAAGTTTGATCACTGATTCTAAGTTAACTTCTATATAAGCTGGCGCAGAATTGTCAATATTTGTAAATATGGCACAAGCCTGAAGATTCTATGAAATTACAAATGAAAATATAGAGAGCTAATTAAAAATGAATAGCTCTTATCTTAACGAAACTTACTACTATTGGATAATTAACACCATCAACTGCGTGATAGGGAATATAATTGTCCACTGCAGTATTATTAACTTTAACTTTACGATATAACGCGATATTCTCTCTATTTATGATTGGATTCCAGATAGTACTTTTGTCGATATTATCTTGAATTTGTTTTAGAGGTTTGTCAGTCCAAAGATCTCCAATCATTTTATAAACTAATTCAAAGTTATTATATAAACCTCCCGCTTTTAAATATAAATATTGGGCACAGAGTTTCCCTGTAATTTTAGCATTTTCTTCGTGTGAGCATAATATGCCTTCTTCTCGATCTGCGTATAATGAATTGCTTATTAGATATCAGGTTATTCTGTATTGTTCATTACCAATTAAATAGGCCGTTTCACAACTGCCACACTTTCTTATAAAGGTATTTTGTGGTTGTGTGTCTTCACTTTGAAGAGATAAATATATTTTTCGTTTCAGATAGCAAATTTCATTCCGTTTACTTCTTGTTATTAAAAAACAATCCGGTTCATCAAAGCATATTTGTAAACAAACATCAAAGGTAAGTTTCAAATTATATAAATCATTTCCATAAGCGTCGTATCCGCTTAGAAAAACAAACATATCTGAAAAAAACATTAAATTGTAATCTTATTCTATTTTTAAGTCACTTCGATACCTTTAGACGTATTGTCTTCAATGTCATAATACTCTTCACATCTATTAATATCAGAAACTCTTCCAAGCGGGCAAATTGAAATTGTTTGTACAATTTGAAAAACTACTAATATAAGGTGAAGCAAATCTAGTTTCTTCATTGTTAAGTTTTTCGTCTTGGCTGCCAAATGAACTCATAAATTATTCGTTAACTGCAAATATTTAATGAACTGTTTATAGATATTCTTTACAAAAAAATATAAAATAATGATAAATTAGAGCTGCTATTGGACTAAACTGTTAAATTAACTATTTGCATTCTATTCATTAGGTATTGTAATCAAGTAACAATAAGTTTATTGCTATTCATTAATATTCAAAGAAACGTCACATCTATATTATTATTGTTCAAGTCTTTTATATAAAAAATTGAGATATTGCAAAATTTCCATAAACAAATTCGATAGTTGTCTTTGTTATCAAAAATAGGTTGAATTGTAAATAATCAATCCTTCAAAGTAAATTGAGAAAATGATGCAATTACATCTTATTCATTTGAGAAATTTGAGAATAGTTATTATCCAATTTATTGTTAACTTATCGACGACTTAAAGTATAACTCCCAGGAATTTATTGGATCATTTTCATTCAATTGCCATATTTAAAATGGACAGTTAAGGCGTTCTGACTAACTTATAGAAAGTTATATCTGAACTTTCCCATTGTTGAGTGTTTGAAGAAATAAATCTTTCGGGTGAATGAGAGCATTGAGCGTTATTCCATTTGTAAGCATAAGATGAACAATTTATGTCCCTCCAACAGGAGGAGATACATCTTTGAAATGATATTGATGGAAGCCAATTTTGAAATTGCTGTAGAACAGATTCATCTTGAGGTGACTTTTTACGAAAGGCATCTGTAAACAAATGTATTAGTAGCATTCGTTATTCAATAATATTATATTGAAAATTGGATTCTCACACTCTGAGCCACGTAACTCTATAACTCTAAAGTTCAGGGCGCTATTAATTTCAAACACTACATATCTACCAATCGACTTGTGTTTACACCAATATTTAACTACAGATTCTCTTAAAATTTCACCATCGTCTTCCAATCTATGTTCATTGCAGTATTCTAACTCATTTGTATTATGCAAATCTCGACTATTGTATATCTTAAAGGAAGATTTAGAGTTGTAATTAAATGATGTAAATATCCTTATTAGATTCAGCTCAAAGAGTCTAACTGTATCAACAGTAAGTGAAGTATATGAAAAGATATATGGTGATTCGAAACTATAAATCGTCTTAAAATATTTAGCCTTATCATTTGCGACAAGAGAGGGATATCTGAAAATATGTTTATCATAGCTCTTTGACTGTCCTTCTTCAGGTTTGGCTATTTGTACAGCATATATTTTCAATTCACATATTGACATTCTAAACGTATTTATTCTTTTGTCAATTATTATAAGAACTTGTCCGTGGGTGTAGTTTTTGCAGTCTATATTCCATATCCAACCCAACGGTCTATCCAGATTAATATAGCGACACAAAAAGTAGCCGGATTGGCTCCTTTTGTAATTATCATTTGCAATACTTTGACCTAACATCACTATTTGAAAATGGTTAAATCGTTCTATAAATACGAAAAATAGATATAAATAAATGTATATTACAACAAAGAAGATGAATAAAACCTTGATGCGGATCATTAGCTGGTACTAAAATAACTTTGCTGACTAACATATATGTTTGAAAATCAACACCCATCCAGTTAAGATAGTCCCTGTCACTTTTAACAATAGTAGCACATGACTGAAAATATTCATTTTCAAATATCGAATTAGCATTTTCGTCAAACATTTTAATTGGATGATTAAAATCTAATCCTCTTTTACTTCTTTGGTGAATACTGCTTATATTATTTAATGACAACAAATCGGCTATTTCTTTTTCAAGTATACCGTAAATTTCCAGTTCACTTGCTACTAATGAACTATTTAATACTTCAACTATTATAAAATATCTTCCAATAGGATAAGGATTTGTGCAATTGGCAATTTTTAAACTTCCTAATGATCTGTCTTCGTAAGGTCGGTAATCTCTGAGACAATTTGTATTTGTTAAATTCCAATCTTCATCTGGAACTTCGTTGATAACAGTAACGTGAAATGAATCGCCTCTTTCTCCTTTTCGCCAAACATAATTAATAAGTTCATCTTAATATTAATTGATAAATACTTACGAATAGGACTAATCAAAATAAAAGATTGCACTTTAAAGATATTATATAGATCAACGCATAACCAGGCTTCTGGGCTAGCAGATTGATAAAGATACGGAGCGGTTCCTCCGATAATACCATCAACTAATTTAGAGGGAATAAAGTTCAGATTATTAGTTCGTCGATAAGATCCTGAATTCCAACAAATTTTATTAAAAGCTATGTTGGTGCTTCCTGTAAACATGGATAAAATTTTCATGATAAAAAAGATAAGATAATTACATGATTTTACCTTTTTCGGAAAAACTTCCCTTTATAATCAAATCACATAAAAGTAGGTTGTTGTTGCTATTTGTTTTTACATGAATAAATCTAACATTGTTATTTGACTGGCAACTAAAATTTGCCCAATTATTTACAAAAACAACGTCGACAAGCGAAGAACATATATTCACGACCTGAGTAAATGCTAGATGGTGAGCATAGCCAACTACATTCGCCTGCACTGCACCTAAAATATGGAATGTTAAACAAACCTACAGAATTCATTAATTGTTTACTAACCAGTAGTTAAGGATGATTTCATAATTTTAACCTGTTGTATAGTAAAAATATCTCCAAGATCAATGAAAAAGCTATAGGGATTTTGTAGCTTCATACAGCTAGTCGGAATACCATCAGTCAAATAGATGGGATCAAATTCATCTATTACAGTATCAGACCTATAGCTGTTAAGAATGACACCTTTACCTTCGGCAATATTATCTATTTAGAATAAACAAAAGTAAGTTACGAATACTTATACAGTATATGGTATTGTGCTTTGAAAATAAAGCCTACCTGAGAAAATGCTAACCTCACAAACAACCATATTTCCTTCACCTATTATAATCACTTTATTAGTTATAACCTCTGATAAACAAATGAATGTTGTTTTTCCTATAATCGTTTCAACATTATAGGAGTCCGAACAGTATTTACTATTGTCTCCATAAATTTTAACGAATGGTAGCTTACAGCAATCAGCCGATAAAATTTCAACACTATACAGAGATAAATGATGATCCAAGGTGATATTTAACCAAGTAGGCGAACCAGTTACTTCACTACAACCACCCGTCTGATTATTTCAATTGGGAAACAAACAGTTATTTTTATTGCTATTAGTCTAAAACACAAGAAAATACCGACGAAATTGGTTTCTTTAACTCCGTCAACGATATGAGAAGGATGGTTTATATCTGAAGTGATCGTATCACCAGAAGTCAGTGCCCTATAAGCAAGATTCTTTCTTCCATGGAAAGACTCATGGCGACAAAAATTTCGTTCATCACTATTCATTATATTCTTTAATTCTTGTTTAACATATTCTACAGTCTTTCCTAGCCAATTCGTTCCTTTTGCTTTTAAAAGTTCAGCAAATTTTTCTGGCAAACAACCTGCTCGTCGAAATAGAAGCTCAATACAATGATTGCCGTTAACCCTCTTCACATCTTTATTTGAACAGGTAACTGCTGCATCAACTAGAAAATGCAACAATAAAAGATAACATATCATTTTAAAAAAGAAGTGTCTTACATATTCTGTACATGCCGAAAAGATTTGGATTTGAAGTTAATTTCGCCATGTGAGCTCCATCTGGATCGAGTGTCCATCTGCTTTTGTAGTAGCAACTTTTGTTAGATATTACATACGTGCAGGACGAAATGTTCTTTAAACTGCAAGACTCAATGCATTGTAATAATGACATATTTTCTTCCATTTCTATATCATTGTATTCTGAATCGAATTGAGGTAACAAAACCATGGTATTTGCTAATTAAAATTTTGTAATAATAAACAATATACTGTATATATCAAGTATTGAAAATATTTACATTTTTCACACCATTTCCCATAGAAACCGGATAAGCATATGCAATTATCAAATTGACATGTACCTGCAAGGCATTCAGTTTCACAAGAACTGGTTACATAGTAAACTAAACATAAGAGTGAAATTGTATAAATCCATAAACAAGCGATACAGAATTTCATCTCTAACAGGGCACAAAATCCAAATAAAACTTGAGTATGAAAGCAATGAAATGTCAAAACAAATGCCTTTGTCTTTTCATAATTTAGTTTCCTTATACCTGCATAAGTCATATCTTATATTATCCAATTGTTTGTCATACGTACTCATTAAAATTAAAGACAAACTCATATATTATTTAGTATTTTATTATTAAAAAACATAGATTTTTGTTTTTTTATTTACTCAACTTGAACAATTTTAGAGTATTTGTATTAAGCTTTTTGTCACTGTCACGTTGTACAAAATATTATATAATTAAAATTATTTATCTAAATTGTCTATAAGAAAATGTTGTATAGGTATTATCGATTGTATTATTGTCCGATGTTGGTATTACATTCTCCAATATGGAACATAACTTGTTAACCTTTTGAAATGATACTGAATGGCAATGGTATAATCTGAAACATTTTTGCAGGCATTCTGTTAAATTTAAATCAATCCATTTTGTAAAAAGCTCGTTAACAGCTGAAGAGGAGAGTGAAATTCGTTCTAGTGAAACTGTTGAAAATTGAACAATTAAAATAACATATAATAGCTCATTATAACTTACATTCGTCAACAAAGAATTCAATATAGTTAATATAGAAATAACCAGTATTGTGTAAAGATATATATCTATTTTTTTTTAGATTCCTGCAATGGTATTCTATTTTTGACCCGGCAGAAATAACTCCAGCGTTAGTATGCTCATCGCAAAATATTAAATTATCTCTATTGATATAATTCCAACTCGAGTATATGGTAAAGGAAACAGTCGACTTTTTGTCCATAGAAAAATAAATCAAAAGACTTCTTAATATAATTTTTTTCATTGTATCAAATATTAAAACTTCGTGTGTTGGATAATTTTGAATTTCATTGGATAAAAGTACTTTTGAATATGCTTTTAACTCTGAAGTAAAGGTTTTATATTGATAAAAATGCTTCTGATATATTCTTTTTCGACCAAATTCGGTGTTATTTAGCGGAAAACCATAAAGTAACAGCTCACAAATACCCATCTTTTTTGAATATGAATTCTTATCGGTTATTATGGCAAACTTGCCGAATCTGTTTGGAGGGCATTTATTGAACCATGTCCAAGAACCTTTTATCGTTGACTTTACGTATTTACATATAGTCCGAGGAGAAAGAGGCCAAGTAATCGTAGGGAGAGATGACGTCAAAGATATATCGAAATGGTTTAAAAAGTCTAGATAAATGAATTTAATTTATAAGAATAATTTAATCAAGATTAAAGTAACAAACTATTATTATCAAAAAACGTTGGAACCACTGTTACTTCTAAAAGATAATATACTACAGAAAATTCCACTCCTATCCATAATTCTTCATCTTGGTATCTTGAAATTACAGTACAAGGATGAGCATAAGAGTTTTTAACTGCAACTTGAGAGTTCCCATCAAAGACTTTTATAAGATTCATAAATTTTTTTTGCTCATTAGACATGCTGGTACTAACTAACGTCATATTTTCTATTTCAATAAGATACGGCGCCAAGTTTCGGAGGTTGCCAAAAACTTCAACCTCCCCTACCTGAAAAGCTTTCCCTTTCATATTCAGTAATTTCACAAACTTTCCCACAGGATTGGGAACTTTACAAGGATGAAGTCTGTATTCCAAGGGTTTAATATTTTCAAAAGATGGTGCCGTAGAATTTATACAGGTAGGCTCATTTTCTACCCAAGTCTTATCCTCATACTCTTCAGCGACTACAATATCTTCGCCATTCCTCTCAACACCTATCGAAAGAAAAGTTTTTTAGTATGCTAAAGTATGGACTTTATTTAAAAATTTACAGCAAATCCTGTATTGAATGCCTATACTAGAAACGGTATATGTATGAATTAACGCTACCGCTAACCAATGGAGTCCTTTTCTACCAGATGTGTGACTAATTGTTATATAGTTGCCGCCTAATGCTCCATCAAAAGCTGTACTAGATGCATAACGAGAATCGCTGTAAGTGCCTTCGTATTGAAGAGATGGTCGATTTAAAGCAATATTCTTCGGCACTAGGAAAAAGACTATTTAATTTGAACCTTGATCGATCCCATAATAAAACTTACGTTTAGATATTAAAATACCCTTCATTTCAATTTCGCAAAACGTCAATTTATCTCTAGGCGATATTAGAATAATAGATAGAAATCTTCCTATAGTTTTACACGTAAATATGATTGGTTCTTTCTTTTGAAGTTGAAACAGTTCATCAGCGCATAACGTTTTATTCATATTCACCCAATCATACATTGGATTATCGAAAGAAGTATAAGCATTAATTGAAGAATTGGCACCTTTCAATTGTAAATATTGTATGCAAAATTAAAGGTTATTATATTAATACAAAATATTATAATATTACTTCCGGTGCCGCTTGGGTAAACAGTTATCGTATGAATCAGGTAGCTATCTTGTAAGTCAATATGAAATCTGGGACCATTTTCAACAGGTCTACTTGACAAACATGTTGAGATTTTTCCATCGTTTAAAACCGAAGCAATTGTCAAATAGTCATCAAGAGGTATAAGATATGCATAAGCAGGCTTGTACAATGCTATGTTTTCTTTTTTTTTAACAAAAATATTTTTTATAGGCATTAATCTTATTAATATTAATTTATTTTAATTACCTGAAAAAACGAGCATTTCACACACTGAAAAAGCCGAATTATTTTCAATTTTAAGCAAATTTCCTTTCGACTCTTTATTACAATTATATATCGTAGTTGTTTTCTTATCACCTATAACGGCTGAATCCGAACATAAAATATCTTTCACGAATACTTTTGGTTGCGCAATATAACAGCATTCTCCTTCAATAATTTCAACTCTTTGAACTCGTACTTCTATGCTTAGGTCAACCTGAACAAAAAATGGACTTTCTAGAATGGTAGTACAGCCATTATAAATCTAAAAAATATTTCAAAATTTTAATAATTAAAAATTAATGCTCTATTTCCTGTACTTTTAATGTTAATGTGACACCATCTACGGCTCGATAAGAATGATCAAAATTATAAAATTCTCCTGACGTTGTACTTTTATACTGAGCAAGATTAGTCGTACTTCCTAAGGCAGCCATTGGGCAAAGAAAAGTTTTCTCTACAGCAATATCTATTAAATCATTTTTTATTTTCATTTCGTTTTTGCTAAGCCATAGAGATTCGTCGATGTGTAGATTGCTATAATATCTTTGATCACAACCGATGGACGCATATAAGTATTGTATACTTAATGTAGATGATTGGGATGGATGAAAAACTTTAGGATGATCTAAAACAGAAGAAAATTTAGAGGTATACTTTTACTATCGAAATACTGACTTAAATAGATAAGTAATAAGTTGTTAGAACTTGGATATGTCTCTGTCACATCTTCTAGTGTAATTCTATTTATAAAATGACATTCAGTCGTTGTAAATATCACTCCTGCGAAATGTTCAATTTCGCAGTATTCTAAGCATTCGCTTAAAGTTTTGTCTTTTAAAGTCTTGTCATACTGTACATATTCGTAACCTTCCAAGACAAGGTACCCCTTCACTATTCATGTAAAAACAAATAAGTTTTACGTTCTTGAAGGTAATAATGTTACCTTGATCACATCTCCATCCATAAACGAATCCATAACAAGAACATTTAGCGTTAACACAGGTACCATATTTGCAATGAGAGCAATTTCCATGAACTAAACTTAAAAGTGAAACAATTCCTAAGTATATGCACAAACCAACATACATATTACCTGTTGCAGCTCAACTAAAGAAAACCATTTTTACAATAGGAATGAAAACTTTATACTTTGTATTTCAAAAAAGAATAATTTAATGTGGCATTTATTTATTCCACCTTTGGACGGAAAGACAACTAAAGTTTTAATATTTAATAGTCTGACAGAAATGTTTATTAGTAGCTAAATACAGTTAAAGTTATACAATATATAAGTTCTACATCACAGAGACTTTATTACTATCTAATTATTGTTTTGAGTACATCTGCATCATAATATTCTCTTGATTTGTGCCACACTCCTTTAGCTTGTCTTCAACAATAGTCATTCTTCGTTCAAGGATGGATACAGTCTAAACGAATCATAGAAAGTGCTGTTTATAGGCAAAGAAGTCAAAATTAAAATACAACTTACGTCTGTTAAAATTTCCATTTGTTTAACCATGTGCTCCAATGTTGAACTAATTTCAGCTGGAACTTGAATTGTTCGACCAGGAGCGTTTGAAGAATTCGTTCTTTCTAAACCGTCTTCTACTGTCTCTTGAACATCAGAGACATCCGAGGTTAAAGGATACACTGCGGAATCTTCTCTGTCTCCGTTTCTTAACTAAAAATAAACTTGATATTAGAATATAGAGATCAGATTATTTAATAATCTTTACTGTTGTTGGAACGTGAACATCTGTCACAGTAGTCCTAATCCCGTCTCCTTTCATAAGATCATCTGCATTGGAAGATGAAAGTGGGCGTTTTGAGTAATTTGACGATCGAGGAGGAATATCGTGAATAGTTGGTTTGGTTGATTCTGTGGTTTGCTTTCCTTTGTGGGATTTTAGCACCTCTTCATAATTAACTTGATCAAAATTAGTTTTCCAAACCAAAACTTGTTCGTCTGCTCCGCCAGAAGCGAAATAGTCACCTTTAAGAGAGAACGAAACGGCCGTAGCGGGTCCCTAAAATAAAGTCACATAAATTCATTAAACTTCATACAGTTTTATAGGAAAAACTTCAAATAAAATGCATGCCTGATGTCCGTGTAAAGTATAAAAAAGTCTTCCTTCTAACAGATCTAAAATCTTTAAAGTCGAATCGTCTGAAGCGGAAATTAAATAGTTTCCAGACTCATGGAAAGATAAACAGTTAACGGGAGCGGTATGAGCTGTGTAGTGTTGTAAAAGTTTACGTTTCATTCGACAATCCCAAACTCTAACGGATGAATCGGAAGACGCGGCTGCAACGCAAGTTCCACTTGGATGGAATGCAACATGATTTATGTAGCCCGAAGGTTCCTTCAATGTTTGGATACAATCCCCACTTTGTCGATCCCATAATTTCACTGTTTTATCATCACTTCCAGAAGCTATCATTCGCCCATCAGGTGAAAATCTACGTGGTAAGGTAAATAAAAGAAAGTACAATGAAGTATTGACAAAAGTGATAGTTATATTTACAAAAGTTTGATCAATCAATGACGGATAAAAACATTAACGAAGCGTATGAATTTTATACAACTAGTTTGTTATATTGTTATTGATCCATTGAAAACGGAAAAGAAAAACAGTTAAAATTGCCTAAAAAAAGATCTTTTTCACCGATTAACTACTTTTTAGCGTCTTTAACGATCAAGAGAAAAGAAAAGATTTTATAAAAATCAAAACACACTTATATAGAATATACAATAGCCCTGACGGTATATCCGCAAAGCAAACAGTACTCATTAAATGGATTTCAATACGCAAAAATTGGCAAGGTCTTTGTGAGAATAGCACGAGCAATTCATTTGCCTATCGACAATTCAACAGCTAACATGTCTCAGTGGCAGTGCCTGAAAACTTTCGAGCCAAGTCCGAATATGTGGGCATGGTAAGGGAAATAAATTAAAAGCCAATATATAAGAACTACAAAATTTATAATGTTTTTTGTTGTTAATCAGTTTAGTTTGTGTCCAAAAATTGTTTTAAAAATATTTAATATAAAAAAATTAAAAGAACATTTAGAAGATTTTCTTTATAAAAAGTATTCAGCAAAAAGTTAATATGCCGTCAATGACTAGTCAATGATATGAAATTAAAAAAACTTAAGACACAATGAATTCAATAATCAATAGTTTTTAACTAACAACATGGCTACCAGCTAGCAACTCAATAGATTATTCAATAATTCATTATAATCCGTCTTCCGCTTAATGAAAGACACATATTAAGTCATATTCTCTTATAGTCTTACATGGGTTAAGCCAGCAAAAATGGACTTTCAAAAAACTGATCATTGGAGTAAACTAAAAACTAAGGTAAACTTTTAACTAAAATTCATCTTTCTTTATCAGATATTATGACTTTTTATCATCTCTGATAAAAACTTTTTTATAACAATTCTAGTGTGAAGATCAACAGAATCGTCTGTATAGCAGCACAAATGAAGGGTTAAAAAATTCAACTCAATTTTATCAGAGTCGAAGCACATTTAGCAGTCCGACATCAAAGAAGAGGAACCCTCTGAGAACAAGTTACAACGAAAGAGCTCGTCAAGGTTTCAAGTATTGGCCAATGGACAGACCGAAACCCACTAGTTGTAAGTATTAGCTACTCTTTTTCAACATGAAAAAGTATCTATTTAATATAAGAATTGCTAAATAAAATTCTAGACAACCAACTTACAGCTCAAGGTCACTGAATAGTAAATCAATTGCACAATTGTAATATTTCGTTTTTTTCTTGCAGTTGGAAAATATGGAACTGGATCGTACAAGACAGTACTCGGTCTAGGAAATGCCCCAAGAACATAAATTATTGAACGTGTGCACAATTAAATAATGAATAAAAACCATTTCAGTATTAAATAACTTGACTTTTTTAACTGTCTTAATCATTTTAAGAAAAAAATTGTATAAGTTACTCACTTCGCACAACGAACCCAATTGGTGTGTTCTGCCAAACTAAAAATAAACTTTTGTCGATGAACCGTCCATAACTATTGGAATAAAGCTCTCATTTACCCTCTGTACAAAAATTATACTTATTCTATTCTAACCTTTATGGTCTTATCATCCGAAGCTGTGCACAAAGTTTGACCATCGTTCGAAAAATCTACACTTCGAACTGTTCCTGTATGTGCTTTGCAGACTGTAGATTCTCCTTTCCTGAAAATAGAAATTTTCATAAATAATTGAATTTTAATATAAGGTCCGAATCGAATTATATTATTATTAAAACTAGGCCTTTTAGATATACTAACACACTGGGTAGCCACAGTCGAACAGTTTTATCCCGAGATGCTGATGCTATGAGATGTCCAGATGGTGAAAAAGCAACAGACATGACTGCATCCTGTTTTAGTAATAAACAGTAAAGTACCATAATATTAATTCGTTATTATTGTGTAGACCTTGTGTCCCACAAATCTATAAGCCCTCATTTGCGGTTTGAAGTTCCAAACCATTACACAAGAATCCATACCACCAGAAACTGTTGGCATTTTTTGAATTAGAATAAAAAAAATTTTAAAAAGTTTAATCTCACCTAATTGCTTCATGTTAGGATTGAAGTCAACTGATGTTACCGTTTCTCTGTGGCCCTTGAAGTGCCTTTCCAGCGAAGGATCCTCCTACGAATAAAAGAACTCCATGAAACATTATACGATCCGTTAACAAAGACTAGTTTATGAATGAGATATAGATGTTTTCCATCAGAAAAAAAGGACCTTACCATCGAAGTCATGATGTTTATTCTATAAGGTCTTGACCGAAACAGATTTACTAATACTTTGTCAAATTTAAGACAAACAAGTTATACTTTCTTGTTCAAACAAGTTCTTCGCACAGCCTGGATATTAGGCTGTTTACATACCTCATATCGAAAATTTTGAATGGAATACCAACCATGCTAACAATATTTACAAAACCGTTTCTCATTGGTTGTAGTAACCCAATAGGTATTCAAAAAACAAATTTTAGTCGGCTAACCGCGATTTAAAATGTCTAACGAAAAAGCAGCCTCAAAGGCATTTAAATTTCACGATTACCAAGCCCGATTAGCATCTTTTAAAAACTGGGCATTTGATGACATAGAGGATTCTATATGTACATCAGTAAAGGTAAACAATTTTATCGTTATAATGTAACGTAGACAAAGTACTGCTCAAAAAAAAGCACTCAACTTAAATAAACTGAAGCATTAAACTTAAGGAATTTTTGCTTTTCTGTATATTAATTGAATCAATCAAGTTATTGTGTTGTTTTGTTTCAGTTGGCCGAAGCTGGTTTTTTCAGACCTTACCCTAGAAAACGGCCAGACCTTGCAGAATGTTATATTTGCCTAAAACCACTAGAGGGTTGGGAAGAGCAAGACGATCCGTGGACTGAACACAAATCTCATATGCCAACGTGCCCCCTATCTAAACTAAGAGATAAAGGAATCGATGTAAACAATTTAACAGTTGAACAGAGAATCAAATTAGAATTAGAACGAGGAAAATTTCTACTTGTAAGTAAAAGCGATAAGCAAAGTAAATAACAGACAGTTATAAACACAATTTTCCTCTACCGATATAGCATAGGGATTATCAAGATATAAAGAAAGAATTTGAAGATCGAATACCGGAAGTAAGAAGCAAACTAATGAGGTTGACTTGAAGCAATATCGACAAGAAATAGTTACATTTGGCTAAAAAAAGGAGGCTTACAAATTCTTTACAAAAGAAACAAACTACAAAATAATGGAATATTCGTTTTATTAAAAAGGCTTATTAGCAAATATTTGTTAAAACTTGAAAAGTTCAATCTCATTATGAAGCATCTACTTTAAGTTAAATAATAACATAAATTAACAGTTTACAAATTTGGTTTTTATATAAATAATAAAAGAGGTAAATGTATGTTTATTTGAAACATATTATTCAATATAATCTACTTTAACACACCATACCTCTATCAATCATTTTTCACACTCCCTTCAACCTTAATTTTATTCCTTTTTATTTATTCATTTATATTTATATATGTATATAAAAAGTCATTGTTTGATGTGATCTATGTTCACTATACTGCGATAAAGGAAACACATGAAATAATATCAACAACATTGTTTTTAACTGTTAATTTCTATTTGTTGACTAAAGAAGACAAATAATGAACAATATTTTTCGTTGAAGAAACAATTGAAAATGAAATTGAGTTATATGATTTTCATTCTACATAGCAAAAAATTGTGTTATTTAAGTAGGGCTAAAAGTTCTTCATAAACTAAAAAGGTTACAGCATTGACAGGTATTGCTCTTAAACATGCAATACCTATACCGGAGAAGAAGCCCCTTATACCTTGTTTATTGTAAACCATCAGGGCAGTTTGTATTATTCCTATATTTCCTCTGTTTGATTGCATAATTGATTTTATAACATCGAATGGAATAACAGAACCCCATGATATCACACCGCCAATACTGCCAGCTATAAGAGTGGAAATTACGGGGCTGCAGTTCCATTTCAAAAACATTTCTTTTGAAGATTCATAAGATAGAATATAGATTCCATAGCTAGGAATATCTCTCATAATCATAATATCTAGTCCTTTATATAAACGCCATATTCCTTCAGTTTTGACAAGATGCCTAAATGCTTCATTTGGTCCTCTCAGGTATTTACCTCCTATAACATCTGAAACATGAAGGCATAGAGTAAGAAAGATTCGTCATAAAAGAGTTAAAGAGCGTACTTTCCATAGATTTACTTTGTGACTGTAAGACTATTTTAATAACCTCAATTGGACATGAGATAGTAATTTGAACTGTTCCTCCCATACAACCACTTATAAATAATCTTAAATAATTATTATTTATCTTATTCTCCAATGCTGTTAACGAATATGATTGTACACCGAAATAGATTGAATTAATTACTCCAACTGATACTAGTGGATAGGATAGTCCTCTGAATGAACCATTCTTCTAAGTATTTTAATAATGTACAGATGATATCATGAATATGTTACTATTGATGAAGTAAAACAACTAACCAATCCATCATTAGCGATGACCTTTAAAATATCATAATAGCTTTTACGACCTTTCTGAGCTATCTGTTGGGTTTGTAGTAGGACTTTCGTCGTATCGAGCGGATGACCGACAACAATACCAGCAGATCCTTTGATAAAATTCATTTTACATTTATATTCATTGCTTTATAATTATAAATATTTCTCAACCTGCTATAGCTCCTGCTATGTAGTCGTTCATGCTACTAACGCGAAATGAGGACAGAGTACTAAGTACAGTATAAAGTTCATTCACTGATTTTTGCAATATATTTTTTTTCATTATATTATATCAATCATTAAAATGAGTTTATTAATAATCCTTTGTTCATTATCAAAATATCTCTTAAATTAGCAAAAAAAGCTGAATATCAATTACATATCACAAGCTTTTTCAGCAAATGCTGGATTATCAATATAATCAGTTTGCTTTGCGGAATCATTCTTTTCTCTTCTCCACTTGGCCGTTACAAACAAACTCAATAGAGCAATTATACCAAAGGCTGAAAAACCGGCAATCAATCCTATAGCTAAAGGACTAATGGTTCCTTTTGTCGTGTTTGGTTTACTCAATGAAGCAAATGTATCAATTTCATTTTTAACAAAATTCGCTTCATCAGCACCCAAACCATACTTTTGGACAATATTCAAAGGTACAGTAATAGGTCTACCAAGTCTTTGAAGTCTTAAAACACGACTTGTCAAATGCCATATAAATTCTCCAAACATATTTTCATTCATTTTTTCCTTTAGGCTGTCTAATTTTAAACGCAAGTAGCCTTCTAATTGTACTCTTTTTGGGTTCTGTACCACTTTATAATCCAATTGGGAACCAGTTGCCTTAAACTGACGACTATTTTTATTTGTGTAGATGAAAGGATTTTCCTGATTAGAATACAAAAGAATCATATAAGTATAGCAACTTATTTAGATTTTTAAATAAATATTACTCTTGTAGGGCAATTTAAAACGCCTTTAAAGGTCCAATCCAAATCCCCTCGTTTTTTCCCAACAGGTTCCATCTGTTGCAAAAATTTTTATGAAGCGTTCAATTAAACATTAATAGTAATAAGGTTGTTTAGAGAATAAATTGATCATACCAAATTATGCCAAAGAGACTTTCCAAAAGCGTATTGCGCCTTTCTAGCTGGGTGAAAGCAATCAATAGACCAATAAGACTTATCAACTTGTCCATCTTTCATTGGAGGTGTAGCATTTTGAAAGTGCGTTTGAACAACAACAGTAAACTCTTCATTTTGATCATATCTACCGGATGCGATCAGTTCCATTAACTTGTTATGAAACTTCTTCTGCATGTCTCTAGTAAAAGGTTTATTACCTTCGGAAGTGGCGCAATTACAAACGCTACTTCCAATAACGTCACAGACAATACCAGAACTAAATAAAGGAAGAGGTGTTACATCGAACATTGTGTCAATGGAAAGTATAGTGTATGTAGTATGGTCTTTGATGTAATCTATAGTATCCTTTAAACGTTCAACGTATACATCTTCATTGTAATCTTGTGGATAATCACAGGCTTGACAAAGGTCATTAGCGCCAACCAGCAAGGTAATTAATTTTGGACTATCTTCTAAATTTTTTTCTTCAAGTTTTTCCACTAAATATTCGGCTTGCTCCTTTGTATGACGCGTTTCGGCACCCCATTCAGCATAGTTGAAGCCTGCTTCAACGTCTCCGGCATCAGAGTGGCCTCTAGATATAGCATAACCATCTAAAATTTTTGCAAGTTTCTTCAGAGCATCTGCAAGAAAGAAGAGTTAGTCGCAAAAAAATATTTCTTTAAGAAATTTTTACTTGGCATTGTCATAACATCTCTTTCTAAATCTTGAGAACCTCCATTGCTATAAGCTTCGCCTCTAATAGCATCTCTTACCCGAAAAATGCTACTTTTATCAATACCGTTTCCGCACTAATGAAATTGTTTTTTTTAGATTAGTTTAAGATAATAGCACTACCGTTTGCATGTTTACACTTACAACAATAGAATCTCCAACAGCTCCAATAGCCCTTATATCAGCGAATTTAATTCTATTAACTATAATAAAAGTTATAGTTTATACTGTATTTAAAAAGTTGAACATCTCCCTACTTACCACTACTAATTGGTTGAACAGTTGCTTGTTGTGTACAGTTAAATTTTATTTGATATGTGCCAACGTCTAAAGGATCATGATCATATTCAGCCATATGTTTGTCCAACTCTTCTCTAAATTCCTCATCTGTTTGTGCTCTTCTATTTATCTCTTCCAGTGCAGCTGTGTATCTTTTCCATTTATCCTCTGCAAACAATATTCATAATGAAATTTTGTAAATTGTTTATAATTAGGCCGGGAGGTAGGCAATATCATATTTTGTATCATCATTTGTTTTAAATTAGGAGGGAGACGTTGATTTTCGCGCAATATTATTTACCTAGATATGGGTTTCTTTTATAGGTAAGAACAGATGCTATTATAGTTAATAAAAGAAAAAATATAAAGTTTTTCATCCTGTCGCGCAGCGGTTTTTTATTGTTAATGGCCTGATTTATAAAGAAATCTTAAGATAAATAACTCAAAAACATAAGATAAGATAAGATCATCTTATATTTCAACCGTATCTTAACATTGTTGAATGATATTATGTCTATTGTTATCATAAATCGTCAGACTCTATCATTGTCGCAATTGGTAGGATTGCCTCATAAATATGGCTTGATATTTAAGAAATGGAGATTTCTGTAAGTGTGTCAAAAACGCCATCTGTAGGAAAATATTCGACTGTGTGTACATCACTTTGTAAGCAGGTACCACTCTAAATCTATTTGACCAAGGTTTCACCAATAAAAAAAACTTTATCGTCCAGAAGTTGAAAATTTTATCAACCAATCATTCACTTTTTCCTAATTCATCATTTAAAAACTAAGACTTTCCATCCTGTTTTACTATGATAAAAACCTATGGAATATGGTAAAGATTTCAATAGGCCGAAAATAAAAAGGCGTATATTTTTAAAAAAATCTGCAATAAGTTTTCTAGAACAGATTATTTCTCACTACACGGTGAAAGCCTGCGTTTGGGTTTGGCTTTGTCGAAAAGGTCGATACCCTTATTAACTTACCAGCTGAATAATTATGAATGTAACAGAGAAGCGTACTGTGGTTTTAGCTACGGATTTTAACAATTGGTCAGAATATGCGTTCGACTGTAAGATATAGCTTTCTTTTTATCATTTTCCTATGAATTTTTCAGCTCTGTAAGCCTTCTAGAAAAACGCAAATGTTTATCTCTCTAATGATTTTGTTTAAATAAAAGTGGGGAGAATGATCGAGAGAAAGAAAAGGTAGGACTAAAAAGAGTTTTAGAGATGGTAGGAAGGATAGATAAAAGATATAGCGCAGACAAAGATGAATTACAAACATTATTTAAATAACTAAAACTTTTTTATAAAAAAAAAAATATATCTGCTGCCACCTAGTGAACTCGAATAATTGAATAAGTGTCGGAGCAGCGGGATAATCATCTTGACAAGCCAATATTTTGTTATTTCTTTAAATAAGTCGAGTTTACCAAAGAGGAAAGAGGATTTTAACTTTGTTTATCAACTTTTATCAGCGTTTTTTATTACAACGAAGCAAGATTTACCATTCGCGTTCTATTCAACTTTTCTCTCTAAAACAGACTATTCTTCTTTAGCTAAAACTATTTTTTGTTAATAAATAAAGAAAGAACTTTATCATCGTCTTCCTCCTTTTCCTTTCCTCTTTTCGATATTTACTTCTTTAAAACTTTTTTTATTTCAACTATCTCGTCTCATAAAACTTAAAAACAAAAAAAATCCTCCGAAACAAACAATATGGACTCAGAGAGAAGAAAAGTTATTATTCCAGTAGATCCTCTTGATTATTCCGAATATGCTTTTGATTGTAAGTAGTTTCTTTTTTCAACTTTTTCTTATTTGCAGTATTTTCCAGCTTTTTATAATTTATTACAGCTTTAATTTATCTACAGCAAAATCTAATTTTTTTCCCATTTTTTAAGTTATTTTTGCAGTATAATTAATCAAATAAAAAGGTTATTTAGTAATAAAAGTATTAAAAAAATATTATAAGGAGTCAAAAAAGTAAATAAATATTATACTTCCTATGTTATATAGATTTAGATAATCCTATAACCAGGCTATAAGTTGTATTTACTTCTTTTTGGATTGATATATTAGAATTTATAACATACTTTTGTAAAAAACAAGATTGAAAGCATTTTCCTACAAATTTACTAACTTTTTAGCAAGATAAAAAGAAATTTGTGCCAACTGCTTGAAAAATCTCCCGCGGAAAAAAGTAAGAGCAGAAAAACTGTTAGCCTCTTAGAATTAAGCAACTTCCTACAGCAAAATTTTTGCAGTTGGTAAGCGTCTGGCGGCCTTACGCTACGGCGATTTATAGTGCGCAATTTTTTTTTGCTTTCAAAATTTATTCAAAAAACAAGAAAAGTAGATAAAACATGGCTTTTCAAAACGGAAAAATTCTCATATCTGTTGATCCATATGAAGATGCGGAAAATTCTTTCGATTGTAAGTTCTATTTTAGAATGACTAACATGTATTTCTGTTTCTACGCATTGACCTTGAAAGAGGACATATTATCTTTCATTTAATAATATCTGCAAAATTCTCTCTCTGAAACACTGGGATTTCTATTTGAAATGGAATGTTAAGGGTTTTATAATACTCTTAGGAGGTTACACAGAAATCTTATAGAATCTTCGTATCAGCCCATTTTGATACGTCTGCGTTAAGTAGGATAGTAAAGAGAACAAATTTTCGCAGTAGTCTATTACAATTAAGTGCGTGATGTAAAAAGTAACAGGTTCTCCTATCTCAAAAAAAAACCAGAAGGTTAAGGGAGGTACACAACCCCGACCCCCTACCCCTTACAGCTAACCACCTTTTCTTTCTTTCTCATCTCCCACTTGAGCATTTCTCTATTTACTTTTAATTAGTTCTTTCAATGAGATAAGATAAATTAAGCCTTAATAAACGGTAGATGTCGCTACTATTTCAGGGTATACAAAATATTTGCACCATCCAAGCAACGAGATCGTTGTCCTTCACGTTCCCGAGGGATTTGACTTGGACAAAGCCCGTATGTAATTATAATATATATATTTATACATATCTATACTTGTCAAAAATATCATGTTCACAATGAATAGCATTCATCTATTGAAAATCATTAGTAATTTTCACAATTAATCATTAATGACTATTAAAATAATTCCTATTTCATTTCAAGAAAAAGATCTTGCAAAGAGTGGACAAATGAAGGAGTCTATGGAAAAGACTTATTCGAAAATAACCGAATTGGAAGAAAGATATAACCATAAACTTCATACAGGTGGGGTAAGTATATCAAAAAATATTAAGATATTTTCATATATATTTATAAATATGCTCTATTTTGAAATACTGTTAGACTTGTTTGTATATTATCTAGTTAAAAGGCCGAGTGATAAGCGTACCGAGTAAGAGCGCTGGGAAAACAATAATAGAGGTTGCTAAAGAAGAGGCTGCCTTTGCTATAGTAATGGGTACCAGAGGAAGAAATAAACTACAAAAAGCCCTTCTGGGTAGTGTTTCTGATTTCGTTGTGAAAAATGCCGAAGTTCCCGTAATTGTTGTTAGACGACCCGAATTCAAGTAAAAGTATTTCAAGATATTTCGTTTGTGGATATTAAATTTCTGTCCCTTTAACTATTTTGATGTTTTGAAGATTATATTTGCATTAAGAAAATAGAATAAAGACTTGCGGGTGGTACCTTGGCCGTTTATATATCAAATATTTGAATATACAGCATATATGTATACATTTATATATATATATCTATATATATATATATTTATAACTATATTATCCATATATATTAACTGGTCTCGTAACTCTCGTGTGTATCACTTACGGTATGAATGAGTACAAATAGTGATTTAACCTGTTTAGAAAACATTTGTATTGGACGAAATAAATCAAATTATACGTGTTGACGATCAAAAGATCGGCGAAACACCGTCTTTCATGTTGGCAACGCAAAGGTTTCTTTTTGCGCTCTTCAGAGGGCGCTCTAGAAGCGCGCTTTAGGCGTTAAGTACTCCTTAAACTGAAAGTAATGTGCGTAAGACGATATAGAAAAGATGAGACGTAGATACAGACGAAAATAATATATACGGCGAAAATTTAAACTCTAAATAGGCCCTAACACCATTTTTACGTAATTTGTCGTAACAAAGCAACAATTACAGCGTTAAGGAAATCACGGTGACGCTCCCACTATTCTGTAATAGTATATAAAACTACAAGTTTAGAAATTAATTAACGCTCGATCGGGTAATGAATAAGAGAATTGTTCGCGCCTACGATTTAAAATTGCGTTCCCAGATCGTCCAGTCGGCAACGCTCTATTAGACGTGGAGAAAGGGTAGGCGGTCAACGAGGCGGAAGAACACCTGACGGAGGAGAGCATGATCTGAGAGGAGAACATGTGCAGGAGAGCAGTGTCAGTTCAAAGGAACGAGAAGGAGGCACGTAAGAACGCACTTGAATACATTATCACGTAAAAATGTTTCAATTATATAAGCGAACTTTCGAAAGCGAGCGAAAGTTTTTCTTTAAAGAGAAAGAAAGGTGGGGAGAGAGAGAAAAGGGAAAAGGTGAGCGACGGTAGACGCCCCAGTCCCGGATGTTCTTCAGAAACAATAGGAACCGCCTGATAAGAATCGTTAATTATACAGCTCTTTTTTCTCAGAGGAAAAGACTTCCGATCAAAGTCATAAAACGCCCCTTCCGCCAATCTTATTGCGGCAATAAGAATGATCGAGTGTGGCAAACTGTTAAATTCTTTTCACAACTTGGGCGGCTGTTCAAAGGGTCGAAATTGGGGAAGAACATATTGCATAGATAAATCGATATGTCCTAAACTCATTTTTCGGCGGATCTTCCCTCTGATACCCGATATGTTCTCTTTCGCCACAACACGCTAAACTCTGCGGTTATTCCTTTCCCTAAACTAAAAAGAATAAAGAAAAAATTTGCATGTTATTCGAACCGAAATTGCAGGCTAAACAAGTTAGAGGGGCAGGGCTGAAGGGTGCGGCGTCGCTTTAATGACGTCACACTGTCGTCATAATGATTCTATATCAAAGGAATCAAACTGTTTTCTTTATGGTTATATTGTTATTCTTAGGCTAAGGAAACGCTTGAACAGGTGTAGAGATTTTTCTTATAATTTTCTAATCCTAAATAGGCCTATTAATCTTTGCCTCTCACTTTGGTTGCTCATCACGTGACGCGGAACGCCCTTATCTTAGACGTTATCTTCTAATCCGGCAACGTACTTTCGTATTTAACGAGAATTAAACGCGGAAAAGATGCGTACTTCCGATAATCGATTACGTTCGCGAAAAACCCTCAACCCTTGCAGAGAGGAGCGCAGGTGGGGTGGCCGATTTTGAACGCCCGTCGTAAACCGATCATTAAAACAAAACAGCAGGATGGCGAACCCTCGAAAATCAGCAGGGTGTCCCTTTCCGAATTATTTGGATGGCACCGGTCTTAAATACCATCGTCCGG